AGCCACATTTTATAAACTGTGCTAGGAAATGATGAAGTTTTGCAAAAAGAAAGTGAGGTAAATATATGCAGCGATTTTACATTATTAGAAAATGACAAAGTTATACAAGGCAGCTAATCCTCTCTCAGCTTTATAAATATTAACAATTTTGGACAAAAAGGACAAAAACAAAGGGCTGCAAGAGAAATCAAGAAGATTAAAACAGATTACGTTCTTTCAGATCTGGCTTTAAAAAGAGTATTGCACTGGCACATCTCTATTGTTTTAAAATGTGGACAAAAAYGTATACCTTAAGTGACAACAGTACCAGTCAAAAGATCCTTGGGAACGTTCCTGAATGAAATTACTTCTCAGATGCTATAAAACGTGATTTTTTTTAACACTGTGCATCAATAACAGACATACCTTAGCAAGGCTGCAGTGATTACACGTGTACACACCTATATACTTGTGCACACACAACTACATCCCCCATATAYAAATATGTAGGATCAATAGAGAGGRACAGGAATAAAATAAATAATCAAAACACATATTGACATATAAAGTCAAGACATGACTGAAAAGTGAACACAATAAATGGGAATATAAATTAGTTCAAAATAAGCAAAAAAGCCTTCTAATAAATTGAAGGATCCAATTCTGCATTCTGTTTCACTTAAAGTCCCCAAGTTCAACTGAAACCAAAATAATTAAGGCTTTCAGTACAAGAGCAGCAGGTTAAGGGTCCAAGAATGAAATCTGTTGCTGCCATTTGAAATAGAGCACACAGAAGAGRTAGCAACGCTTAAATAGGATGAACTTACTTATGCATTTCCCAGACAAGGAGAACCCACTGMTGTGGCTTTATATTTTAAGATCACACTCTAAACACCATCAAGTTCATTGCCCTTACAGGGGGCTTTCATACTAGAACACAGAACATCTAAATCTCTGCTAATACTACARCTGAYAGACTTTTTAGAACAAGATARTTTAAGMAGCATTTGTTAATATAAGGGGTGTTTTGGCTTTTTTGTAGTTACTGTGACCAGGGGRAAAATTGAMACTGTTAAACATCTGTCTCAGACACCTGAATAAAAAAAGAACAATTAATGGAAGAGGGGGATATTTAAAGGACCTCTTCACTACCCGTTAAAAGCTAACTCAGCAACCAACAGAAATAATGATTAACACTTTGAACACAGACACAGAAAAAACCAGAATCTTCATGATAGTCATCATATAGCCAAATGAGTCTAATAAACACAAATACAAGAACTTAAAAAACAAGCATTAATCTACACAAGATAAAGAGTGTGACGGCCAATATATTTGAGTAGCACAATGAGCTGAATTAACTCCACAGCCACTGGAATCTGTACTCAATATTAACAATTACACAAGGGAAAACAAYCCTCCCAAAGCTAGGTACTGGCATGAGAACTGCAGCGGCCAATTCTCTACAAATCTGTGATGACAATATCTTCCTCCCACGCAAAAGCAGCACTAAGTATTCCCATAAGGAATATGTTATATACTAGCCCACAAGGACACACTCAACACTTAGTAGCTTCAGGAAAATGCTCATGTACATTCATTCACATTTGTCTCTATTCCCACTAAGGCTAATGAAGCCTTATTTATAGCAAGGGATGGGCAGAAAAATTCTGGGAGAGTAGCTGAAGACCTGAAATAGAGTACTAAGATACCCAAACCCTTGGACTGACAGTTACCTTGCATATACTTCTATTGTATCCTCTTTGCCAAARAGAAGATATTTCAAAATCAYTGGAAAAGTGGGGTTAACATTTTGAATAAGCACTTCATCTATTAACTGGCTCATTAACAATCAACTAGGCTAACATAACAAACAATTCTTGTTACTCAAACTGGCGTCATTGTAATGAGCTCCAAATTAATCTCATCCGTACAYAATCACTAATCTTGTTGTGTGCCAACTGAATTTTTAATCAGAATGGAGTGAATCATAGGTTGTTTCATTTCTAATACKTGTCATCCAAAATGAATAAACACTACAGCAGGGAAGAACTTTTTTATTTACATTCTGAGAAGCTGATTTTATTTATGCCTACTATACATAAAACTATCAAATGCATTTGATAGAAAAACATTCTTAATGACAATAAAAAATAAAAATGTTTATTTTTAATAATGCTTTGAGCACRAACAGCATCACCAACTTAAAGAATTTAGCCCTCTGACTGTAGTTAAAACTGTCTGACAAACCAAAAGGACCACTTGCCCCACTGCTGAACTGCTCCACAGTGCCTACATCATTCTACAAGATCGGCATGGACACAATCAGACCATGCAACTAGCAGGGCAAATACTGCTGGGAAGATATGCAACAAAGCACATGGTTTACACAGCTGAACTTGAGACTCAAGCTGAGTTTCAAACCCAAGTCACTTTAATGTTTGTGCAAGACACAAAATCAAAGCTGAGTTTCAATGAGCATTTTTAACTTGATTCTGCAATTGCAGAATCAATTCAAGAAATCATTAGCTCTGCTTATAAAACAAGAGTGCTCAACATAACACCCTACTGCTGAAATAGTGGCCTAATCATTTAGGAATTCTCTGGGGGGAAAAGCACAAACTATTAATCTACAGCATTTACTTTTTAAAATGCAGTATTTCTGGAATCTTGCTTTAGCTGTCTGGCTAACAGCTGCTTAACTGAACACCTGTTACCATGCTCAGATGAAAACCTAACTCAAAGGCCTGCCCATGGCCATGGAAACTKAAGAGTGACTAAAGCAATCTGCAATACAGCCATTCAAATGTCTTCAGGGAAGCCTACTGACAGCCTCCATTAGAGCCACAGGAGCTTGAGAAATCTGGAGTACCTGGTTCTCCTTTCAAGCTAAGCATAATACCTGACTCAAGCCTCTAACAACATGTGATGGTTTCTKGGAAAACAAGACACTCAGACAGATGAGACCAGTGCATGCTCAATGTCAGAATTCCCACCGATCTGATKGCACATTTTACTTACTTAGAGACTGTGCTCCTCATTGAATAACATCTACATGCTTTTGTGCATGGCAGATTCTGTTTTGATTGCCAGGAACTGTTGCTTCAGAAGTATTTGAAGATTGCTCAAGATTAAGAGCACTAAATTACGGTCAATGTGCTAATCTGTATTTTACTTCTAGTCAGTAGACAGCTATGTTAACACATTTAAGAATTCTGCTAATATCTCAGAATTCAATTAAATTATCTTCATTAAACAGCTCTCACATTTGTGGGAAAAAGATAGTTATTCAAAGACTTAGCATAATAAGCAAGTTATTGTTAATGCAACATTCTGAAGAGAAACTCTACAAACCATATGGAACATTAAACAGTGAATGCAAAAGGAAAAGAACACTGTGTGGGAATAACAYACTCTGATACCATCGGGACAAACTGCAGGAGAATGACCAAGGACCTTATCAAAAAAGGTTACATTTACATAGTGAATGCTTCAGCAAGGCATAATGACCAAATGACGTTGGCTTGCAGATTTCTTCTTTGGTTTGTTCTAATTAATTTAAAATAGGCTGGTTAATATCTCATTATGTGTCAAAAAGCAAACGGCTCTTCCAACTCGTTTTCCAACAAAGAAGACAGGAAGTTTGTTCTGGGCTTAGGCAGAAGAAAAGCAACACTCCTAAAAGAAGCATAATTAATGAGCAATGTAAGAAAGAAAGAAAGAAAAATAAGGATGTTTTYATCCTTGCAGGTCTTCCTGTGGATCACTACTGCTAGTGATTTCCCATCAGAAATATGGCACCATATCACTCTCAGCAAGCTTCTCCATCTGACCAGCATTTCTACAAGATGTTCCAAATAATCTTTATTTTACATCTCATTGGTAATTAGTTATTAATTTCTGTTTTCCAGTACATTAAAGGTGCTTCTCTTCTTTCAATATCAACTACAAAAAGTAGCTGCTAATKTGAACACTTTTCAGCAGGTTGTAAGATTGTGGAACAAATGAGAAAAAGAGAAAAATAGCACKGGTAAACAAAAGAGTGTGAAAACAATTCTAGAATTGCCATAGAAAGTAAAACCTTTTCTTATGAACTAGCCGAATGAAATAGCTGTTCATCAGCACTGTGCCTCCTTCCCAAAGGAGTTTGTGAGCTTAASAGCAAAGTGACCAGGAGAAGGAAAGAAATATGACATTCACACTTTAAAAATTCTATTAGGTATGCTAAAAATAATTATTAAAACCAATTCTACTGAATTACTATGCAGTGAAAGGTAAAACCAAAAACCAACACTTGTCATGTCACACATCAAGGACATGTTCAACCTCCAGCATGACAACCATACCACAGCACGACAGCCACTGACATCCTTTAGGGAGCTCTGGTGATGTGCTCATAAAGCACAAGAAGAGCTGCAAGTGAGGGCTCTGACAAGAGTCTCTTTAGTAACTACTAGTAAGTTTTGAGAATGAGAAGTATTCTAAAAGCACCATTAGTTTCTTCAAACAAGGCTTTACTACTTGAGGCTAATTGTGACTAGTGAAGGGCACAACACTAACATACATGAGCAGATAGCTTTCTTTGATGAAGAAKTTCCCCTAACATTCTACCTAGTTCTATCCTTCCTCAACAGAAAACAAAAATCAACATCGCTACACCAAATTACACTACTTTATTTTAAAAATAAATGCTTTTAAAAGACACAATTTAACAAWTTTTTTTCTGAGACAGATAATTTAAGATGATCAGATATTAAATAAACACATTTTTACAGATATTCTAAATAGTTACCATAAAGGTAACATTGTCTTGATTGAAATGTCTTAAACATCCCCTTCATTTATTTGTTCAACTTTAAATCACTTTAGAAAGCAATCTGTTTACACTCAAAATACCAGTGAGATAAAATGCGCTTTTCATTTTTATTTTGCATTGTTATAAAATACCTGTTGCTGAAGCTACACTAGAAAAGCCAAGTCTCTCTGTAAGGTGTAAGGTTCTCAAACAGTAAAGTACTTACATGCAAGGCAGAAGGATCTGGCAAAAATTCAGCATCCTCTCCAAAGATAAAATCTGGTGGCAGGTCAGGATAGTGAGCGTTAAAAATTATATCCCCTGAAAAGCAATAAAAGAAAACATTGTTTGCACTTTTATATATGTGTTTATAAATAAAAAATAAAATAAYCATATACGATACATATTTTAAATACAGAATTTGACAGCTACATTACATATATTTCATGTATATATCCATATAATATATTTTTACAAAAATTCACATGCAAGATAAGCATCAGATGTTTTGGGGGATGAAGTCAAATTCCTGAGGCACAGCTTCTTCCTCCCCTGCAAGCAATGAAACATGAAATACATTATTGCTTTGTATCTCAAATGGCAATTCAAACACTATTGAGGGYTGCCTCAAAACACCAAGTTAGAAATGTGATCTTGTTTTAATAAAAAGTATCATATTTAGATGGCTGTGTTTTGTCTATTAAAAGTCAATTGCAAACTACTAAGGTCACGACTTTCAAAATACCAGAGCTTTTAAAAATTAGTAGCACTTACTCCCTCTCTTCTCACCACCGCCAACTCTTAGAAGGAAGAATACACAGTTCAACAGGAACCATTCCAACTATCCAAATTCTGGCCAAGAGAAATGCAGTATTGCACATTTAAATGGAGAGACTAAAATTAAATGAAAATATAAAACTTCATCACAGCTTGGCACTGAGCTCTCATCTTGCCAGTGTCACAAGATACGCAATTAAAAGAAATTTGGGTTGTAGTATTTCATTCGTACACATACGTCAGAGTTCAAATAGATCAAGAGGTGATCATATGCATGTGAGCTTTAAAAAAACCCACCGACTGTTGAAGAAAAGAAAATTATAAAATAAAAATAAGTGTTTCTAACCTTATTTGTCTACCTCCCCATAATTTTTTAGGATGATATGATAGAATAACTGAGCTTTTGCATAAAACATATTTATGAGGCAGCAGACATTAGAAAAAAGGAAGACTACTWACTGTGTGTTACCACTGGTTTAAATCCACACAGCAAAGTAAAACTAGCATGGCAAGCCTTAAAAACAATTCTGTTCAGAGAAAGTTACACTTCTTATTTCTTAAAAAATTATGAGTGGAGARCTGGAGAAAAGCATTAGATGAACAAATCTTGCAGAGCCACATTGCTGGCTCAGTGATGTCACCATCTCAAAACATTTGACATGACAGYTTTAATTGCAGATATTCTGTAAACTTATCTTGGCCTTAGCTGGAAGCTAGCATGCCATAAAGATTAATTGCAGAGGATGAAGGCTTATGACCAAGAAGCCACTGGCCAGTCTGAGGTAGGTAAGCTCTACAGCGTTGCTCCACATCACAAACTGACTGATCATGCGACAAGTGGAGCACAGTGTGGGTTTCTCCTGTCCACACTCCTCCCTTCCTTTCACAGCTGTCAGGAGCACGTGTATATACGGGGTGCAGAAAATAGCAGAGGTCTGCCAGTTAAAATTCCCAACACACCCAGCATAAAAATCAACCTTTTAATTTCATTTAAAAGATCAAAACAGGCATCAGTCCTGGARGAAAAGGCATAAAATTCCCACAGGAAATACATCTATATTAAGGAAGAGAAAATAATTACTAGATTGCCTGAATTGTAATGCAGCAATAAAGAATTCAGAAAAGTTGATGTTTAGTAGATTGGGTAGTTCCTGCATCACAACAATACAACACTTTTCTTAATATTTACTGCAATTAAAATGTCATGAATGGCTCCTTTCAACAACCTCACTGATTTCTACATACAGAGCAGTGAACTTGAGGTTATGTACTGAAGGAGATTCACCCTAATACATTCTTTGACTGAGTTCTGAAAGAGATACGTTATGAATAACACAGAATATGGCACAATCAAAAAAGCTTGGCTTGTGACTCAGGTAGCCCTATGCTACTCAAAAGGAAAGGACTGTATCTGTGCTTTTGCCATGTTCCTAGATGATCCTGAGTAACTGATTTAACACACACTTCTGATACTGCAGGTGCTAGCTGCATCCTTTTCATTCTCTGCTTGTTTTAACAGAGGTGGTGAAACAGAGTAGATATATCTTCAGCTCAGCTCACTCCAACTACACACATACTAAAAAAAGCTACTTAGCATAAAAGAAGGATCAAAATAATGGCATGTTTTTGATGTTACACCTTCATACTCAATTAGTGAGAAACTATTACAGAACCTTACATCACAGGGCAGCTCCAGGACTCTGCTTGAGTAGTGAGATTGTCAATAAACCATGTCCACCTCTAGAGGCTGCACAGTAAGTGGTGAACCTCAGGAAAGCTGTGGTAGTAGCTGCAATATGGAGGTTCAAGTACGTACAAACTCTTCCCCTTCAGTTTTCATCTCTAGAACAACATGAAGTGAACTCACAGCAGCTCCCAGATCATGATTATATGCAGTGCTCAATGTAACAGTGAATTAAAGTTGGCATTATTAGTTTAACAATCTGGGGTTCAGGTCAGCTGCATATGCCATGTAATGATTCCTGCAGGGGGATCAGGTACATCTGGGGATGGTACCCTCTCTGAGCACTCAGGTGTGATGTGTGGTCACACRGAGGTCAGGCACATCATGTCGCAGCTGGACAAACCAATATACTGGTCTATCATCTCACATGTTCATATTTATTCTTTACCACCTTCTGTCACACCCCTTCTTCCACTAAACTTTAGCAGAATTGTGAGTCTTTATCCACAGTGAGTGACCAAGTATGCTGATACAGGGATTTAAAAAATGTTCATGACCTACTSATATCAAAGAACTATTTATGTACAAGGAACAGAATCCAGAGTAAAAATTAACATTATGATATTTGATTTTCTATTACTCGTAATTACTTACAATTGCTAAAATTGCTTCTACTTGTGCAGGGTAAAAATGCCTCAAATCCAAATTCCCAAGTCCTTTTCATAAAAGTCACTTTGAGACCAAATATATCAATATTAACACCAATGTGTATATCAAGATTATTTTTCCCTGTAGTGTATTCAACTTCCAAAAGGCCATACACTACATAGCTACATAGGTTCTCTAGTCTTCAAAATAAATAAACCAAATATTTCAGTGCCTTTTACTTACACATTCACAAAACAATACTGCTGAGACCATAGCCAAAACATTCACAACCCCACGGAAATTAAAAATGATGCCACTGTCCTTATGTTCCAACTAAAAAGAAATGTATCATTTATGGTCTCCTTCCTACAGTATCATAGCTTTTAGCCAAATGTAAACCCTAAATTATTCTGCTACAAACTTCACACAGGCTGGCTGACAATTCAGTAGAGACAAAGAAGTACAGAACAAAATGTTGTTTCCATTTCAATGTTAACAGTTTAAAAAGAGCAGTGATTCTCCATAGTCAGTGGTTTGCATTTTGGAAGTTTAATACAGCATCTTACTATTAAAGATCGCAAGATTTGACCTTAGAACAAATTTTCAATGTATTTAAAAATGAAAAAAGCATTCCCTCAGTCAAATTTTATTCTAATAAGTCTCACTTCTGCCATGAATCCAAAGATGTTCAGCCAGTTCCTAAACCAAAAGAACAAAGAACTGTTTGTTTGACAGCATCAGGCATCCATACACATCACCCCCAGTCTCTTTAACTTTTCTGCTCTGTACTCTCCCCTTCCACACGCAAGTCTCACTTATGCCTTGCTTAATTTACATACTGGAACAGAAAAGGCAGCACCTCTGCCTCCAAAAGGCTTAGACACCAAGGAAGAAGTTTGCCCTATTCGCAACCATGCGTATGAGCTATTTTCCCAAGCTACACATCAGAAGCAAAAACATACCATAACAAATCAGATTACAGATTAACAAATCAGATCCCATTCTCAAGCTGGGTTTTGTTCTTGTTCAATACCAAAACCCAGAGATATTAAAACTGCAATTAACAGTTTGTTTGGCATGATGTATAAATAAAAAATGCTTCATTACACTCAAATAAAATATATTTAAACAAACATCCAATGCAAATCTGGTTTTACTTCAAATAAATATTAACACTAGCCTCTGCAGTAAGCTTACAAAGTATAAGGTGCTAAATATTTTGAATCACAAGTGGGTTTGTCTTGACCCACTAGAAATAGCCATTTTTATAACTAGTCCTACATTTAATGCTTACATGATATTATCTGTGGCTTAAYCTCTTGAAATGTAATTGTGCTGGGGTAAATAAAAGTAACACTTTTAACCAATAAGGTCATTTGCAAAATTATTATGCTTAGAGTTTGAGAATCGTTACCATCTTAACCTTGGAGGAAAATAAAAAACAACAAAAAAAATCAATATAGTCCTGCAATCTCTGCCCTTCCCACCTAAATGACACAAATACCCTTTTCCTTGCACCTCCAGCACGAGTTTTGCATGCATTTCAGCTCTGTTTGCCCTTRCTCCCTCAAAAGAACACCAACTGTGTGGTGCTCCACAGCACTACTGACCACAACCGTTCCAGTATAAGAGCAAGGCAAGCAAAACCTTCACACTCAGACTCTACTTATCTCCTTGCTGTAAATATAGGAGCCAATAATTACTTCAGTGGAATTACATTTCCAATTACATACTACCACAGAATTTAAAATGACTTCCATACAGTTAAGGCCATGGAATCAAAGACAAATTTAGAAGAAAAAGAATGTATTATATATMTCTTTTGCTTTTCATTATCCAAAAMTATTACTTTCTCTTCCTTTTTTTCTCCACAGAAAAAAGCATTAAAAGTTGAAATATTTTACTTCACAGAACTTCAAAAGAAATTTAATATGCTCCCTACAGACAAAAAGATAGAAATATTAATACTTAAATCTATAATTTCTTTTAAAACACACATGGGCTATTCTCATCTATCAAAAAGTATAAGCAAATCTAACAGAGAAATAAAAATTGACTACAAGCAAGACAGGTGTTTCTCARCAAGAAACTGATTTCTGAAATCCCTACAATCACTTTACACTGGCCTATCCAGTTTTTCCTCTCCTGGTAACTTCATGTTTGGGTATTTTTTTTTTCCTTTGTTAACCATCCTATAAATTTGGTAGTAGTG